ATTACTTGAGTTGAGAAAATTGTACAATGATAACAATGATAAAAATCATACAATGATGGTATTAAACAAAACTTGGAAAATGATAAAATTGATATTTTTAAAATCGTACAATATACAATAATTGTCTATTCTTCTTCTCCTTCTTCTTGCTCGTCTTTGTCTTCGTCTTCGTCTTCGCCTTCGCCTTCAAGGTCATTGGCTAGTTGCATAGATTGGGAACTAGCCGAACCCGAACCGGAAGCGGAGGTTCCTTCTTCGTTGTCGTTGTGGTCGTAAGAACGGTCTTGTGAGCGATTTTCCGCATCCAACCAATCTTTGAAACACACGCACATTTCTAGTGTTTCGGGTTTTAGACTTGTTCTTCTATCGTCTAAAACCCTTCCGGATGCGCTGAAAGCTCGTTCGGAGGCGACGGAGGAAACTTGGATAGCAAGAATGTCTCGTGCCATTGCCGCCAAAGTTGGATGCTTCGAGCTTTGTTGTTTCCACCATGCAAGGAGGTCGAGGCTATTTATCTCATCGTCGTTCATGCCTTTGGTGAAGTCGTAACTCAGGTACATCTGCAACTCCGAGACGTCGCTTTGCGTTCTCCTGATTGATGAATCACCTGAAAACCTTGAAATCAAGTTAGTAGCTAGTGAAAATAAATGTTTGGCCTTCTTACTTACGTTTTTGGATGGTTGGGAAGGCCCTGAGCGAGGAACGGTGCCATATTTGGCTTCATAGACTCTATATAAAGCAAAAAACTGATCCTTCACATTAGTCTTATAGTTTTCTACATCATCGTCAAGAAACATGCATTGAAAGTAAATGTCAACTAACATAAATGTGTTTTCATACTTTTGCCCAGGATCTAATATGGAAGCAAAAATATAAATCAAAGGAATCTCACTATAATATTTACGCCACTTTTTTTCCATTGCTGGAAGATACTGATCATAATCACTTTGATGGCGATGATCAGCGAAAAGTTGGGCGAGTAAGCATGCATTAGAAAGAAAGTTTTGAGCACAAGGATTGTAAACAGTAGAAAAACAATACGTCATGTTATATAATAACTGTAAAAATTGCATATATCTTTCACAGTTATTCCAATCATCATCATACAAAGCATTTTGTGGAAATTTTTGGTTGTAAAATAATGTTAACGGGCCCTTGTACTCAATTGCCTTTGGTAATATGTCATAGGTGGAATTCCACCTAGTTGGGCAATCGGTTCTAATTTTTATTACCTTTATCTTTTGTTGTTTTAGAAAACTCTTCCATTCTTGGTATCTCATGTTAGAGCTATTAATAGACATAATAGCATCTCTGATTTTGTTGTAGTATGGGTCAATTGCCCGAACTCCATCCTGTACACATAAGTTAAGTACATGGCAAACACATCTAGTATGAAGAGCTTCACTGTCTAATAGTACATCGGTTAAGTTTTGTTTGATAAGATTAGCTGTGTATGTCATAGAGGTTGCATTATCAAAAGTCATAGACATCATTTTATCTCGAAGATTGTATTCGTCTATTGCTTGCATTAAATGGTGAGCAATGTTAATGCCGGTGTGTGGGTATTCCAGCATTTTGAAATGTATTATTCTTTTTTGTAACATCCATTGATCATCTACCCAATGGCAAGTCACACATAAATAGTGATATTTATAACCACTATCCCAAGAATCGGCTGTTAAAGATACTCTACAGTTAAGGTTACTCAATTCGGCTTGTAACCGAACTTTGTACTCTAGGAAATTTTTCATTGCGGCGGTACAAACGGTTTTCCTAGAGATTCTTTTATGTTGGGGTTGTAGTGCTTTGTTAATGTAGGTGTTGAATGCGTCACTTTCCGAGAAAAGAAAAGGTTGTTCGGCGTGTACTATCATTTTTCCTAGTTCATCCCTATCCCTCTCATAGTTGTATGTAAAGCCATATGGATGGAATTGGGAAATTTTGGGCTGGGTTGGATCACTAGCTGGTTTTGCACAAGCTTTCATGTGTCTAGATAAGTGTCCCGTCCCGTTTTTGGTAACTGCCTTGAATACACTATTACATGTTTTACATTTTGCCCATTGTTCACCATCTTTACTTAGGACAAAATAACGCCATACCTCACTCCTTCGGTTTTTCAAAAGTAGCATCTCAGTTTCGGTTAACCATTCATGATGTGTGTGATGGTTAGTAGTGGGACTAGTGGGAGTGGCAGTAGAAGGGGTAGAACCGGAGGGAATTCGGGTACTTTCTTGGCTACCTTGGCTAGAACAATAGTTTTGTTGATCACCGATATAATTAGGTGGAAATTGGTATGGTGGTAGTGGAAATTGGTTTAGTGGTGGTGCTGGAAATCCCGACGTATTATATGGCTCATAGCCCGGGGGGAAGTAAATGGGGTCATTGGTTTGACTCGTAATTTGGGGGCTCGTTGTATTTGGTGGTTCCCTAGAACTACTACTACGGATAAGTCGGCCTTTCCCCCTAGACCTAGATGATGGGTTGTTCGATGCCATAATTAACAATTAATTTTTTTAATAAAAAGTGGTTAACTATAATAATAATAATTAATAACAACAATTTTAACAATAAAAATATCAATAATATTAATTAATAACAACAACTATAACAATAACAATAACAACAAAAATAAATAATAACAACAATTGTAACAATAATAATAATTAATAACAACAATTATAACAACAACAATAACAATTAACAACAATAATAATTAAACAAGATTATTCTAATAATAACAATAAAACAATAATAAATTTAAGATTAGTTTAGATCTTACAATCGTGCTTCAACGCTCCACTAATTACGATTACGAACTTTTTAATTTTTTCCGATATTAGGAAAATAATTAGAGAATTTAAGAGAATAATTAGAGAATTTAAGAAAATAAGGATTATTAGAGATTTAGAGAATATAAGAGATAAGAAGAAGAGATTGTGATTTTGTGATTTGGGAATGAAATGGAGGTGAGTATTTATAGAATTTTTGGGGAGCAAATTGGCAAAAAACTAGCCGTTTTTTAGCCGTTTTTTTGGCTTATTAAGGAGCTAGAATAAACGGTAACATTACCGTTGGCTCGCGGGCCGTACCTGCGGGCCGGCACGACGGGCCAGCACGGCGGGCCATGCCCGTGCTCGTGCCGAGCCGTGCTTGGGAATTCTCAACCCTGTCCGTGGCACGGCCTGTGGCACGGGAGTTGAGCTTCGTGTCGTGCCGTGCTTGAATTCGGGCCGTGCCGGGCTACGCCGAACGGCGGGCCGTGCTGGGCAGCACGCGGGCCAACCCGGCCCGTGCCCAGGTTTGGGGACAGGGCTAATATGGAAAGACACCTGGAAACCTTTATACGCAAACGGCCTCTAGGTACGGGGTATACCATCCGGGTTCCGCCTGAGCTGAGCACAATTGCTTGGGAAGACAATCAATGAAATGCAAACGGGTATTTTGGTTGCTATGAGGCAACCTTTTTAGCCGGCCTTTGCTTCCCCTTGCACAACACAGTAAAGGCCATTTTAAGTGGATATGGCTTAGGCGTGTGGCAGTTAACCCCAAACTCTTGGGTTAACATCTTAGGCTACATCGCCGCCTGCGAAATGCAGGGTCTCCATCCTGGATGGGAGGCCTTTGCTCACATGCATTACCTTAGTCGAAGTCCAGGCGGGTGGAGGGCATGGTATACTCTGACTACCTACCCCAAGTACTTGATGACCTTAGACAAACCGTCTAAGTGGTCAGATTGGAAGAACCGCTTCTACCTGGTCTCTGCCCCCACGAAGCAAGAGAACTTCAAGCTTAGGACCTACAACCGGAAGCCGAGTCTGCTAGGGCAGAAGTGTAAGTTGCCCCAGGTTCGGGATGAGGACTATGAGAGGATAATAGAGGCAGGGTTCTTTGAACTTACAACCACCACCCTCTCAACCGGTGAACTAATAAGCGTACCCAAGAATTGGGTACCAAAACACGAGTTTTTGAGGGATGTGGCTTTCTTATCCGCCTGCGGGTTGAGCACCCAGTTTACTAAACGTATGTTGTGGATGCATCCGACACTTTTTATGCTGCCTTTGCCACTTTTTACTTGTGTTTTTTGCATAATTGTCTAATCAGACGGTTTATTTTTTGTAGTAAACGCTTTAAGGATGCTGCCTGAGAGCAAGACTCCCGCACGGTCCGCAGCAGACATCCGCAAGGAGAATGCGGAAAAGAAGAAAGTTGCGCAAGCGGCTAAAAGCCAGGTGCAAACGCATGTCTCTCCTTTTCTTGCATTCATCAATATTAATTTACGCCGGATGGCCATAAAGACCTCCAATTTTTATTCAGGATGGAAGCAAGGCGCCTCGATCTCTCACAAAGTTGATCAGACCAAGAACGGGGGGTGAGGTTGCTGCCCCCAGCTAGTCTCAAAAGACTTCTGCCCAGACGGTTCCAGGCCGTGTGACTGTTGGGGGCAAAAGCTTTAAAAACACCGGCGTGGGATTCGATCTCACAGCCAGACAACCGGATGCCTCTAAGGCATCGAAAGGTGGAGACGCACCTAAAACTACAGGCGGTCCTGTAGTTATTGTATCCCAAGGTACAGCCGATCCCTTCAAGCCTCTTGTGCTTGGCAAACCCATACGGGTCAAGTTACACTCTTAGCTCCAGCCATAAGATTCTTCTGGCAGCCGGCAATCTATAGAAGGAGCGTATATTGTCTTCTCACCGTCTCTTTCTAGTTCAGACCTCTCCCCCTGGTGGCCGGATGTACAACAGTACTCCAAGGTCATGCTGAAGTCCATACCCAGGAAGGAGAAGGAGGCAATCCCGAGGATCAATGTCTTCAATGTCGATCGGGTCCTGGCTAGCCTGACTCAGGTTAGGGGTGGAAATCGGATCAGATCAGGTCAGGTCGGATTCGTGTTCGGGTTTCGGGTCAGCTAACCCCCAACCTGAACCTGATATTTTCAGGTTTGGTTCAACCCGAAAACGACCTGATTTGACCTGATTTTATTTTTAAAAAATTTTGACCTAAATAACCTGATTTTTTTTAGCCTGATTATAAGTTTTTGACTACTTAACAGTTAGTATAACCTGATTTTTTTTTAATTTTTTTTTTTTTACCTATGTTTTCAAACATGATTTTCAAACTTAAAGTTTTCAGGAAAACCAAATAAAGTCTAGCCCTCTAACAAGTCTAAATGCCTAATTAACTATTACATACTAAAATAAAGTCTTAACAAATTACAAAACACAATTAAAAAGAAACAAATGTTTTTAATAAAATTTCATAGTCTTCGCTCTTCGTGAGTCAGTTTTTCATGGTTTTTACCCTTTCCTTTGTCCTCCCTTGTAGAATCAATCTCCTCCACTAGTCCTCTTCCGAAAAGTTGTTGAATAATTGCTGAAAAAAATTTAACAAAATAAAATATGACTAAAACTGATCCAGTAGAAAATGTCTAGTACGAGATCACGAATTCACAGGATGAGCTAATCAAATAATTAATAATAATATATCTGTAATAATCAATTAATAATATATATCTATAAATATGTAATAATCAATTAACAAAATTTGAACTAACAAAAAATTAACAGAAAACTAACATGCACAAATTAACAACATGCATACAAATTAACAACATACATACAAATTAACAACATGCATACAGAAAAACAGAAAAATAAATTAAACAGAAGATCAAAAAACACACAATTAACTAAAATTAAAAAACAAAAACAAAACAGATATGAACTGAAAAATTAAAAAAAATCAAAACACAACTAAACGGATTACCTTTAGGAGATACAGATCTTAACTTTTAAGATGATATTTATGTATTTAACTGAAATTACAAAAATTAAATTAGTAACCGAAAGGCGAAAACCAAAAACAATGATAATAATACTAATAATAAAAATTAAAAACCACTATACGAAAATAACGAATACAACAAAAACAGAATAAAAAATATTAACAAGAAAACTAAAAAAAACACAATAAAAATTAGAAACGAAACACAAAATTAAAATGTTAGGAAATTACCTTTAGGAGAGGAAGATCTGAAGTTTGAGGATGAAAATTAACTGAAATTAAAAAAAATTATAAAAAAACGAAAACCAAATACAAAAACACAATAAAAATTCTAAAAATTATAAATGAAATAAATATATACAGAAAAAAGAATTAAACAGAAACACAAAATTAAATTGTTAGGAAATTAAAAACTGAAATTATAAACTAAACAATAAAAATAAAAAACGAAACACAAAATTAAAATGTTAGGAAATTACCTTTTGGACTTAGGAGAGGAAGATCTAAAATTCTGAAATTTGAAGATGAAAATAAAATATCTAAGGAAAATAAAATATCTAAGGAAAGAGAAAGAAGTGTGAATTAACATGTAGAATTTATCAAACTAGTAAACAACTTCTAACAAAAAGAATATTATCAGCGAATAAAATGATGTAAAGAATTCAAGGATAGAAGAGGATTTTAGGGTTTGAATTACAATGGAGAGGATTTTAGGGATTGAAGAGAGAGAAAATATAAGAGAAAGAAAGAGAATATGGCAGAAAGTGAGAAAACGGCTGAAAGGAATGAGTGGAATTTAGGGTTTTTGATTTTATAAGGGGGCTCTATTTGAAGTTGGGTTGGACTAAAGGTTTCTTTAAGGGTTTTTTTTAAAAACAAAAAACTTAAATGTGTTCGGGTTATCAGGTCGAGTTCGAGTTGACCCGACCTGATAATGACCTGATTTTTTTTTTCAGGTTATGTGGGTCATTTTCGGGTTGGGATTTTCAACCTTAACCTAACCCATTTAAATTTCGTGTGGGGTTCGTGTCGACCCATTTAAGTTTTTGGGTCGAAAACCTCAACCCTAACCCGTTATTTTCAGGTCGGGTTCGGGCGTGTTTTCGGGTCGGGTCAGTTTTTGCCAGCCCTAGCTGAGGTATGAGTTTGCATTTTTTTTTTTATCTTTTAACCCCGATTGTGGTCATGCAGTTAATGCTGCGCGTGGAGGGGCTGAAAAAGGTCTATGCCAAGAAGCAAGAGGAGATAAGACGGGTTAAAAGAGAGGCGTCTGAGACCCATAACGTTGCTCAATATTCCATGATTGTGCATGAACTAGAAACTAAAAGTCAAATCATGCAACAGGCGGACTCCATCAAACGGCTTCAAAAATTAGTAAAAAAATGCAACATGCGAAGTTTCAGGAGGCGTAAAATTCTGAAGATGAGCTTAAGAAGACGGGGGAGGCTCTCGAATCTTTGAAGGGCGCCAAGAAAGAAAACTCCTCCCTTAAAGCTGAGAATGAAAGCCTGAAGAAAGAGGCGGCTGCTGCCAACAAAAACTTTGAAACCACTCTTCATGCTAAGCAGAGCCAGCTCATCAAGGAGAATGAGTAAGATTGCGAAAACCGCATGAAAATGGCTTGGTCCCTTGTGCATTCGGATACGGAGTACGCCGTCTGGGAACTGGCCTATAAATATGCAGATCTTGCCATTCTGGGCAAGGAGGAGAACAAACCAGAGCCCGAGCCGTATGAGGACTGGGCAAAGAAGGAGATTGCGGCCATGCAGGCTGAGGCAGGCTTTGATGGAGAGGAGGAGGACCAAGCAGAAAATCAAGAGACTCCTGCCTCAGAGTCAGCCGCCAAATACGCGTCTCGCCCGGCTCCTCATGCTTAAGCTTTTTTATTTTTATTCCCTTCTCCGGCCTGCATGCCGTGTATCTTGTAATTTAACAATATTCTTATTTCCCGGATATGCATCCGGTCAACAATTTTCTCCCGGCCTTCTAGTCGGGTTTGATTAATGATCATTTGCCGACTGGGTCGGTTTTGCAAGTTTGATTTCGATTTTTTACAATTCCGTTGAAACTTCGCATGTTGCATTTTTTTTACTAATTTTTGCTAAGTAACTGTTTTCGTGCGGTCATCCGGGTGTCCTATATATATTTGCCCCTGGACGGATGTGTGCTTGGTCGGTCAGTGTCGAATTTTAAACTGAGCAGACATTTGTGTACCAGACATCCAGCTGTGATTTACCTTGTAAACCAGTTTTGGCCAGTTAGATATGAGTCATCACGACTAGCAAACGGTTGTTATCCGCATATTGCCCATACCCTAGAAGACAGTTCAATGTTAGACAGACGGGCATAAACCGTGTGTAGGTACTTTGAACAGAAGCGACTTAGCCGCTAAGGTTAGGCTTAAATCTTTAAATTAGTCGTCTGTGGTGCCTTTGAGCAACAGACGGTTTTATCCAACCAAATCAACAGTCTCTGGCTGCATTGGAACAGGCAGGAGACAAGTTGCCAAGGCTTTCAATTAATCTTTCAAACGGTTGAGTTATCTTAATCTAGACACTCTGTTAGGCCGCTTGAATTTCGTTTATAGAGCAATGTACCACCCAAATGGGAGATTCTCTCTTCGACGAATTCACCCAAATGGGGTGTCGCCGGGTGCCTACTGCTGGAGTAGGCACTTAGCTGTAATATTTGGCCATTGGCCTCCTGAGGTTGTTCATAAAAGAACGACCTAGCCGCTTGGTCCTTGGACTTAGCTTAATGTTGCTCATGTGGGAGCGGATGCGTATTTTCATGTTAAGCACACCCGTTTACGCATTGCACAGACGGTTTACATATACAGAAAGCAAAATAAAACGTTTTGCAAACACATTTACTTTCATTGATATACTTTATTTACAAAAATTTACACAAATCTCAGAAGTAGTACTTTTTCAGGTTATCTACATTCCAAGTTCTGGCTAGCTGCTTGCCGTCTGGAATTTCCAGGCGGTAGGTGCCTCCTCTTACTTCCTCAAAAATCCGGTAGGGGCCCTCCCAATTAGGAGTTAACTTTCCTTTCTCATTAGCCCTACCGGTTGCCTCCATTTTTCGTAACACAAAGTCCCCCACTTTTAGGGGTCGTTTGTGTACTCTTCTGTTGTAGGCTCTCGTCATTTTCAGACGGTATATTTTGCGACGTAAGGCGGCGTTGCCCCTACGCTCCGGGAGTGAATCCAATGCTAGACGCATGGCCTCCCAATTAGCCTCTTCATCATAAAGCATGATTCGAAGTGTTGGCTCATAATGTTCAATGGGCAGGACGACTTCAGTGCCGTATGTCATGAGAAACGGGGTTTCACCGGTTGCCCCTTTTTTAGTTGTTCTGATGGCTCATAGGACATGAGGCAACTCATCTGCCCATAGACCGCCAGCCCTTTCGATTTTCTTCTTGATGCCGTCTGAGATGAGCTTGTTGAAGGCTTCTACTTGGCCGTTTGCTTGGGGTCATGTTATATGCTTCTTTTCTCCATGACTTCCCAAAAGACTGACCTAGGCGTATCACAGAGGTGGATGATGCCAGTTTAGATAGCGCATCTGCCTGATTATTTTCTGACCTGGGCACTTGACTTAGATGAAATTCATCAAGTGTCTCGGCCTCGTCTTTGACCGCATGCAGATATTTGATCATAGCCGGATGGGTGGCCTCATAGTCACCATGGTATTGGCTGACGATCAACTGGGAATCACAGCAGGCGTCAACTTTCCTTGGTCCTTCCTCCTTACACATACGGATACCGGCTAGCAGAGCCTCATACTCCGCCTCATTGTTTGAGGCCTGGAACTTGCACCGTAGCGCATATTCATATTTATCCCCTTCCGGAGACTGGCATATTATGCCTGCACCACAGCCGTTCATTGTAGAGCTCCCGTCTACATACACTTTCCAAACCTGGTCAAGATTCTCCAGCTCAGTCGGCCTTGTCATTTTGACGATGAAGTCGGCAAACGCCTGGCCTTTCACCGCCTTCCTAGGTTCAAAAGTGATTTCTAGACTTTGCATTTCAATAGCTCATTTGAGCATTCTACCGGATGACTCCAAGGTTTTCATGGGCCGCTTGAGGGGTTAATCAGTGTAGGTCACCACCAGATGTGCCAAGAATTATGGTTTTAACTTCCTAACTGCCATGAAAAGAGCAAGTCCAAATTTTTCAACCATGGGGTAACGGAGCTCAGCATTTCGAAGAACGTGGCTAATTAAATATATCGAAAGCTGAATGTCGTCTCTCTCAGCAAGGAGAACAGCACTGAGGGCATGATCCAAGACGGCTAGGTACATGTAGAGAACCTCCTGAGGCAGAGGGCTCACTAGCCTTGGCAACGAATGCAAGTGCTCTTTCAGTTTCTGAAGTGTCGCCTCAGCATCATCTCCCCATTCAAATCTTGTCTTCTTCTTGATTGCCTGGAAGAAGTAGAGGCACTTGTCACCTGACCGGCTGAGGAATCTCCCCAATGGCGCCAGACAACCAGTTAATTTCTGGACTTCCCTTACAGTGCGGGGCGACTTCATGTCAATAACCACATGTATCTTTTCTGGATTAGCCTCTATCCCCCTTTGATCAATTAAGAATCCGAGAAACTTCCCAAACTCGACACCAAAGACACACTTCTTGGGATTAAGCATGACCTTGTGCCGCCTGAGGGTGGTGAAGTTTTCTCGAAGATCAGCAAGGTGATCCGTTTGTAGCTTGGATTTGACTATCATGTCATCAATATACGCCTCTACCTTCCTCCCAATTTGATTAATGAAGATTGTATTAATCATACGTCTGAAGGTAGCAGGCGCATTTTTCAGCCCATACGGCATCACAGTGTAGCAGAATAACCCTTGATCGGTAACGAATGCCGTCTTTTCTTGATCCTTCTTCCACAAGGGTATCTGATGGAAGCCTGAGTAGGCGTCTATGAAGCTCATTAAGGCATGGCCGGCTGTAGAGTCGACCAAACTGTCGATCTTTGGAAGTGGATAACTATCCTTCGGGCATGCCTTGTTCATATCTGTGTAGTCAACACACATCCGCCAGGTTCCATTCGGATTTTTAACAAGAACAACATTTGCAACCCAATCCGGGAAGTGACATTGTTGGATGAACCCAGCCTCCAAGAGCTTCTTTACCTCGGCGACAGCAGCTTGGCTTCTTTCCTTACCTTGGTTCCTTTTCTTTTGCCTAACTGGCTTCTTTTTAGGATCAACAGCGAGTTTATGCACAGCTAGATCCGAGCTGACGTCTGGCATCTCCTCAACTTCAAAGGCAAAAATGTCTTTGAATTCCTTTAGAAGGGTGTGCAATTTTTCACCCAACTTAGCAAAAGCAGTCGTCCCCACCTTAATAGTTTGATCTGGACGGGTGTCATCCAGAACGATGTCAATGTGATCACCAGCCATCTGGGGACGTAGTTCGTCTGACCTTTCCCCGGTCAGTAATTGCTATTGCTTCTCTTTCTTGACGGTTGCCGATTGGTCCGCCTTTCTCTTTTTACCGGCTGCTCTTGGAGCAGGCGCAGCTTCTTTGACCTCATCAAGGTCTATAGGCTCCTCATCCTGACCGGCTGCTGTCACAGTCGATTTGACGTCTAAGAGATAGCATTCTCTCGCCGTCTTCTAATCTCCGCTCAAGGAGCCTACAGACCCATCATCTCTTTCAAATTTTAGGAGCATGAGGGAGAGAATGATGACCGCTTTAGACTCATTCAGCGTTGGCCTGCCTAGTATTAGGTTATAGGCGGTCAACTCCTCAACAACAAGGAACCGGACCACCATGTGGCGTCCTGCCCTCTTCTC